ACACCACTCAGAGTGCTGTCCTCTGAAGATGCCGGCCACAGAGACTGGCGAAACGTTAGGAAGAACAACCTTCAGAACACAGCCAAAGAGCCCGAAAAACCCACAACACCAAAATAAAAATCATTTCTCAAAGTCGGGTTGGAAGGCAGCCCAGCCTCCTGATTCAGGCACTGGACTGTCTTCCTCTGGGGTTTTATTTATTTATTTATTTAGCCTCAAGGGTTCAGGGTCAGCAGGATCTGGGGGTTCCTTTCTTTAAAGTTGAGGAGGGGGGTTTGGCCTATCCTCAGCAGAGGACTCCTATAACAACACCATGAGATATCCTGAATCAAAGCCAGAACAATAAGTTGATTAAGAGAGAGGGAAACAGCAAAATGCTATTATGGACTGGTTTTGTTGATCAGCTGTAAGATACATCCTCTTAATTTAAGATGCTCATGTCAGAATATCACAGATTGGGGGAAGGAGAAGAGCAGCACTAAAAATAAAATAAATTATTAAATTTAGATTGAGATAATTTTACTCTGTTTTCTCCTTAAAGAGGACCCAAGGCAGCTTGCATCATTAAAAGACAATGTTTAAAGCTAAAAAAATAGTAAGTACACAAATACTAAAAAGGATCAAACAAATACAACTCTGAGATATGGTAAACACAAGCAGTACTAAAAACATGGTCAAAGCAAGTAATGCATAAAATCCATCTAAAAATCACACTCATTTAGCCAGTCAACAGGGAAAAGCTTGCATGAAGACAAAGGTCTTTGCTTGCGGAAGGACAGCAAAGATGGGGCCAGCCTAGCTTCTTGTGGGAGGGAGTTCCAAAGTCTGGGAGCAGCAACAGAGAAGGTGCTCTTCTGTGTCCCCACCAAACCACCTGCAAAAGTGGTGGAATGAAGAGAAATGTCTCTCCTGATGATCACCCAAGCAGACTCATATTGTTTAGAAAATAGTGTTTAGAAAACACAATTAAATGGCTATCTTCTGGAACTAACTAACAGATCTTGCAATTTCATGCTTTTTAAAAAAATGCAGTTCAAGACCTTTTAACTGTGCAATGATACTTAAATGTGACACTCGTATGCAAACAAGGTCCAGTTTGAGCTAGGCTGGTCATTAATACCCTATGAGACACTGCTATTAAATGCAGCATGAAAGACACTAAAAATTTCTCTCTTGATAATAAATGATGAGGCCAGAGCCACAATTCATTTTTGCAGCAAGAGGCTGAACTTTTAAGGACACATATAAAGAGCTGGGGTAGGAAGATTCTGCTTGGCCATAGAAACTTATTGGGAGGTAGCACTGGCAAGACCACTCCTTCAGTGTCTCTCTTACCTTGAAAACCTTATTAGGGTTGCTATAAATTGGACACCACCACAACACATAAAACAAATAAGATTTTGTATTTATTTTATTGATTGATTGATTGATTTTATTTTTGGACTTATATACCGCCCCATAGTGCTACACTCTCCGGGCGGTTTACAATTTCATTATACAGGCTACACATGCCCCCCCCCCCAGCAAGCTAGGTACTCATTTTACCGTCCTCGGAAGGATGGAAGGCTGAGTCAACCTTGAGCCGGCTACCTGGGATTTGAACCCCAGGTCGTGAGCACAGTTTTAGCTGCAGTACAGCGTTTTAACCACTGCGCCACGAGGCTCTTTTAGGTTATCATAACATTGCTCAGGGACACGGGTTGCTGTTTTCTTCATCTCCCTGCCCTCCCACCTTTTCATCACCCTGTAGCTTCTCTGACTCTCTGTACTTACTTCTTCATCTGAAAAAGCTTTATGGAAGAAAGGGCTGAGACAAGAACAATTGTCACACACCCCTCTCTCTTCCTCCTGAATGCCCGAGAGTATCTTCAGTCAGGTCACCATGTCATAATTTATATATTTATTCACTTCCAGTTCAGTCATATATAACAGGAGAGGGCCAGACAAAGTTTTCTTTTTCCATAAGAGTTTTGATATATTAAAAACTGCAGAGCCACATTCAGTGCTATGTGTATATAATGTGCCAAAAAGAGAGAAAATGTCCGACAAAAAGCCAAGTTATGTGAACTTACATAATTTCTTCCAAACAACGGAAGTTTTATTGCATCTTTCCCCCACTTCGCACTCTTCAGATATGTTGAATTACAACCCCCATTATCCCCAGCCACCATGGTCATTGGCTGACAGGTGTCTTACTGCAACACACCTGGAGTAACATTGGTTAGGCAAAGGCGTCTTATCAAGTTACCCCTCTGATATTCTAACCTGACATTAATGGAGAATGTTTCATGGCCTTTGCTGAGGAAAAAGCAACCACCACCAAACACCCTGTTCTTTTTTCAAATCTGTAAAAAGCTAAGAATATCAGTGAGCTAGGAAGCCTACATTCAATGTCCTGCTGTGCATTTCCCCCCTTGCTCTGAAGAATCACATAGGATATGGCCCTCTGCTACTGTGTTCTTGTGCCCACTGCTATCAACTAAGCACAGATTCTGAGAACTAAAGAGGAAATGATGATGTCACCACTGGCCCATCCTAGGATAATTTCTGATAAACATTAAGGATATAACCTTTGGCTGTACAATTGCAACTGCAATAAATGTTCTCACATTTCTCTAAACGAATGCATTCTATGCAGCCAGTGAAAAGCAATTAATGCTTCAAAGTATTCACATGTTCAGATTATTTTTTCTTTTTAGTGCCAAATATTTGTGACTTCTAAGAATAAAAGACATAGGAACGTATTAAGTCCTTGAGCAAATTAGATATTTGTATTGCCCTTTCCCCATGACAAGGTTTCTATTAGTTATCTATAGTACAAACTTAATCTCTCTGTGGGGCAGAGGATGTGTGACATTGAAATGAATACTGACAAGCTGGTTCCCATACTCTGGAAGACGGTGAGGACACAGATTGTTCCTGAAGAAATGCAAATCTTGCCCCAGAAGCAGACCAGACAAGGTATAGGAAGGCAACTTGGGCTTCCTTCTTTGCCTCTAATTAAATGGTCATCTCGCCTCAAAAAAACACACAAAAAACCTGTGACTCATTGACTGCAGACTTGTTCTAAGCCAGGCAGCTTTTCTTCTCATCTCCTGGACTATACATGGGGTGAGACTGTAAAAACCCAGCAGTTTCGTTTAGTTGTGCGGGTGGGACAGGTTCTGAATATCTAGGAGACCCTTCCCTAACCTGTGTGCATCTGATGGGCTGGGCATCCATCCTCTGTCATCCGCAGCACCATGGTTCCAATGCTGGTTGGAGGAGCAATCTGGAGTCTGAAAGGTTAGGGGGATGCCAGTCTAGGACTTTGCAAGTCCCATTTGAGAGAAAGGGTTCCTCTTCTTTCATGATATGGAGAAGGGAACATCTCTATTTTTACGGTTATCTTTTTGGCATTGAATTCCTGCAAGGAGGAAGATCCCAGAAGGAGTCTGAAAATTCATCTGATAATTGTTGAGAACTATAACTGAGAAACATGCTTGCTTCATCATGATTTGCAAGGCAATAACTAATGTCAGCGATGAAATACAAAAAGCAACCCCTCCTCCCCCTCCCACAGCAGAGAAAGAGAGACAGAGACAGAAATACCTTACCTTTCTCTGAATCCCAGAAAAGCATGGAAGAAGAGAGCAGAAAAAGAATTAGTGAGGATTCACACAGCTTGAGTCCCAATATTTGTGAGAAAGAGGGAGGGAATAAAAATCAAATCAATCACTCAATTAACCCTCCACTCTCTGGCTGCTTCCCTTACCACAATGTACTGAAGCTGTTTTGTTTTTGTTTAGCCACTGTTTGGGTTTCAGTCCAGTTGTGCCCAAGTCAGGGAGTATTTTAGGAAAGATATAATGAGGCCAACAGGTATCAGCTGAATTTAGAAAGGCAGGCAAGGCACAAATATCAGCCGTGGAAGACAGGCTTAAAATATCGCACACAAATAAGGGAAGCAGTTGGCAGATGCTTAGAAAGCAAGTCACATCAATGTTCACACTTCTTGCTCAAGATGATATTTAAAGAGACAATGTCAGAAACATCATGGCTCTACACTACAGCACAGAGATTGACCCACTACTTTTTTTAAAAAAAATATGCTTATAATTCCCCATCAATTGTTGAAATGTAACATTTTGCATTATATGGAGCTTTGTAATGAAATGTTATTCTTCAGTTCTCCTTTTGTGCTCAAGATGTAAAGTAGAAGATACAACATTCTTGACAATTTAAGGTGAGTTTTTTTTTTAAAAAAAGCCCTCCACATTACAATAAGAAACCTTTGTCTGTTACAATCAATGAAGAAGCATAAATCTAAGCTAAAGTTGATGGACTGCAGTGGCTAAGAGACTAGGAGTCAAACTAGAAGTTAGGAGAATGCCTATCCCATTGTGCTATGATGGAATATGTCTTATAGCACCTAAGGAAGCCCTGCTTCTATGTATTGAGTGTCTTATCTGAGTTATTCTCCAATTTTTAAATAAAATCTCCCACAACAGAATTACACTTCTAGTGGGTGTGATTCTTTTCTAGGATGTCCCCCATTTTTGCAAAATGCCAATAAAAAACAAAGCAAAGAACACAGAAGCATTTTTTAAAAAGTGATGTCATTTCCGATAATTTCATTTGAAGGAGCTGGTGCAGCCCAGAAAGGTTCTTCGGCTACAAACATGAGCCATGGATCTTGCCCACACCTACTGAAAGGCAAGGTTAACCAACCACAGTGGAACCCAGCACCACTTTGCAGGTTTGCTGGTGATCCAGCAAACCTGTCACTCTCAGTGACGTCGAGCTAAAATGACTGATTTGCAGATTTCTTTTTTCAGTGTTAAAGAGATGATTACCGTATTTGCCGGTGTACAAGATGACTTTTTGGCTCTGAAAAAATGCCTCCAAGTGGGGGGGTCGTCTTGTACGCTGGGTGCATGTCCAGCAAACCCTCCCTCTCTCCCAGCAAAGTCACTTACCTGGTAGTAAGACCAAGTAGAGCCCCACTCCTAGCCTGGGAACAGCCTGACTCTAGCGCTGAACAGCTGACTGTCAGGAACAGCAGAGAGGAGACAGCCATTTTGAGATGCGACCACATGGCTGCTGCCTCTCAAAATGGCTGCCACCTCTCTACTGTTCCTTCTTCCAGCAAACCCTGGCTCTCTCCGAAAAGGAACCAAAAGAGGCAAAAGGAACTCTCCCCATGATGCAGCCAAAGCAGAATCATGCATGCGGAAGGGGGGTAGTCTTATACAGCAAGTATATAACAAACTCTACATTCTGAGTGAGAATGTTGGGGGGGGTCGTCTTATACGGCCTGTCGCCTTATACACCGGCAAATACGGTATATATATTTTTAAGGTAACAACAACAGATTTCTGTTAACTAGGAACTGAGTTTAATACAAAAAGCATTTCTTGCCCTCTAGTAGCCAAACATTAATTTAAAAAGTAAATCTGTGGGTGGTATATGGAGGGCCCAGGGGTGTTGGGGCCTCTCAAAACACAGCAAAATTGACCCCTAGTCTTCTAGAAGTCACACAGGGCCCTTCTGAACAAAATATGTTTTTTTAAAAAAGAATATGTGGTGTGTAGGGGGTCTGGGAGCCACTGATGCTGCAAAAATGGCCCTGGGGACCACAGGCTGCATACTGACCACCCCTGCTGTAGAATAAAACAGATTTTTTTAAAAAAAAATAACAGCTGCTTTGTTTGCTATGACAACTGAATCTACTGCATTTAAATCAAAACTGAAGTGTGATATTTGTGAGTCCAAGGTCTTCACTACTTGCTAAGCTATTTTTTTTCAAGTTACTGATAGCAGTTTATGGAATTTTGTTTTGCTGGTAGTTACAAAAGAAAAAATTTACAAAAGAAAAAGATCTTTGAATGAACATTTCCCCATTATAGGTTTGAATTTTGAAAACATTATGCTTTTACTTAAAAAAAAGAGAGAGATGGCCAATAGATATAATTTAGATACATATTTAGATGTATGTCATTGCTCTAATGATTCGTATGTTAAAAACCCAAAAGTAGTTTCAAAAAAATTAAACCATGCTATATTTCTAATAAATTATCACCACTGTATTAAAGAAAAGACCCTGCACAGAAAAAGATATTTTATTCCATCATAACCCAAATGCTGAATTACCCATAGTGTACTTAAATTCTGCAACCTGTAGAAAATAAGGGATACATGCATTCTACATATTTTTTGTATTCTGCGTTATGCATTAAGTAGCAGTTTAATTCTGCTTCCACCATAATGGGGAAGAGGTGCTATCCCAGATCCCTGAGGATCTCATCCTGCTATCCTCACTCATGTGAGCTTTCATGAGGTATTGTATGAAAATACTCATTAGCACAAGGTCATTACATCAGACAAAGCAGATACTACCAGGAAGATAAATTCAATGCAAGCAGCATGATTTTCACTCTGTTCATGGAGGAAGGAAAGAAGATTAGTTTTCTAGATGTTTTCCTCTAAAGTCTAATATGTCTGTGGCCATAGCAGCACTTCTACATCAACGAAACTATACAAACATGATGTGAACACTTAGAACTGGCTTGTGAATCTATAACTACCATCTGGCAATTGTTCTGCAGCATTATTTAATAAAATAGTTTAATTTCCAAGCTTATCACAACACAGCAGAAAACATACACTATCTTAACGCATTTGATTGAAGCCTGTGTTTATCTAACAGGTGAAAAATATGCTGATCTTTGCTGTAAACCATACTTGCTATCAGGGAAGTCAAGGAATCAAAATATACTGAGAATGGAGTTTAGTGACATTCCTTAGACAAAACAAGAAAAAGTCTGGAAGTGTGTTCAAGAGCTACAAGCTGTATTTGGCGGACTGCAGCCCATATTTTCAGATGCCACTCAGCATATTTCAGAACTTCCTTAAATGAGAACTCACTCCCACTCACTTCCAAGTATTTTTAACATGTAACAACAGTATCTATTTTATTTACTCTGTTCGCTTCCTTCTTTAGGTAGGCAGGATAAGTTTTACATGTAGACTACTGAATTGTGGAACACACATTAATAATTTTCAATTTTAAAAAATCATTTTACCCCGATGCAACAGAATAGCACTGGTAATTCTGATATTTAAATATTGCAGGTGAATTTACCCAAATCTACATTTCTAGGCTTCTCTTCATCTCAGATGCAAACGTTTGAGAGACCTAACTCATCTTTATCCTATCCCCACAGCAAATGAAGTACCTCCTGTACCACCATTCGGATTTGTCTGAAGATATAAAGACATTTAATAATGGTCCCAAAGCAACTTCACCATTAACTATTATATGCCTCAGCAGCAGCTGCTACTGCTGCTGAGAAAACTACTGTGTTTATTCCATCCCTTGTAACATTTAAAGAAGCACAGCAGACATTACATTAGGATAGCACAGCTTAACAACCACTTCTTTTCAGTATGCATTAAAGGTAGTGACCATATCAGGAAACTGCCTACATTGTCCTTAAAATGATAAAATTCTGTAGATGCACAGAAACTATGGCTAGATCTTCCTAGGAGTAGCTAATTAACCTTTACAACACTGTCTGGTTCATTTGCTGTTACTCCCAGTGTCAAAATGATATTCATCTGTATTAGTCTTAGACCAACACAGTTTCCAGAACATGTCAAATGAACAAAATACAAATGACACAAGCACGACACACCATACAACATGTACAAAAGAAGGTAGAAGCTAGCTTGATTCTGTGCTCAATACTGTATATTCAGGGCTTTCTACATCTGTAGGAGCAAGTCCTCTAAAGAATCTGAACCATTTAACTTCTAAAATTAGCATGCAAGAATGCTCTTGTGGTTTTGATTATTAGCAATAGTGGAGAATACAGCTCATAAATGGCCGATTTATCTTGTAAACTGTCTGGGTGAATATACGACCTGTACCATTTTCTCTGAATACAATTTTCTGTCTGATACTAAGCAGAAGGAGGAGCAACCTCTACTTCAGGGTGGGCAAAATGTAGACCAGGATATACCCGGTAGATCTCTGGGCAATTTGTACTACAATAAGTAGTTTCTGACTCATATTACTTTAGCAACAAGAAAAACAATTCCTCCCATACTTCCCAATTTAGAAGGCTGAAATCAAGAAAGCTTGGGATAGCCAGGTATGTTGAACTATGATAAGTGAGTGTGGGCAGTGCTGGTATTGGAAAAATGATTGTAGATTTAAATGCTCTCAGAGGTCCTTTCTCACTTCTGTACTTCTGTCAGTAGAAACAGGAGTGGAACAATATCTACTCTGCACTGCAGTCCCCCATGAACCTAAAAACTCTTCAGGGTAAGTTTCTGGGCAGTCCAGAGCACTGCAGGGGAATAGGAAAGGGGAAGAAATTTCTGTCATGCTGTAACACTAGTATGATGTTGCATCCAAGCCATTAGCCGGATTGCTCCATCCATGCCTGACTCTGCAGTTCCCAGTACACTTGCCCAAATCCCACCATACACCAGAATTTCAACCTATGCCAGGAAGGATATACAGGAGTCAGTCCCAGTGAATCCAGTGTTACCTTTTGAGTTAAAGTGCTCTGCACTGGACTTCCAAAGTCTAAAGACCGAAAACCTATTCTCTGAT